CCTGGAAGTATTTAAAAGACGTGTAGATGAGGCGCTTAGGGACATGGTTTAGTGGGCATGGTGGTGTTGGGTCGACGGTTGGACTCGATGATCTTAGAGGTCTTTTCCAACCTTAATGATTCTATGATTCTGTAACTATTCCTTCTTCTATAACCAGGGAGCTGGAAAAAAACTGCTTTCCTGCATCAGAGGCAGGACTCACGAGGAAGGTCTCTTTCTTTGGCTGGGGACTCGCTTGGGCCAGGCAGAAATGAGAAAAAAGAGGGCAGAAGCCAACTTCTCCGTGGTGCCAATAGTTCAGGCAGGTGAGTTTTCCAGGAGGAAGTCTACACGGAAGCAATAGCCAGCCTGATAAGCTGGGAGAGAGGATTTCAACGGAAAATTTGAAGTCCTGCACTAGGTGCACCTAACAAAGTGACTTCTTCTGCTACCAGACCATTCCTCCAGTCCCATCTGTTTAACAAAACCCTTTAGTTTGTCTCCCTGTACCGCAGCAATTCTGCAAACAACTTCCAGTGAGTTGCTTAGAGCTAATCCTCTGAAAATTCATTCTGTAATCCAAGGATTCATCGCTATGGAAACTGCTTATAATCGGTACTTTTTATAGCTTAAAAAAACCAGCATCAACAAAAGCTATTGTAACTCCAATTGATAGTTATTTTATTCCCACTGGAGACTGCCAGCTTTAGAAAGGGGACATGGATCTTCCTGGTAATTTAAGGGAATGAATAATATGAAAGCATCCAATTAAGCTCATAAACATAAACTCTGCTGACATGCAAAGATGCATCCATGACACCATGCAGGTGGGCCAGCATCATGAGCGATGGCATCAGCCCAGCTCGGCCACCTGCCCACAGTAAGGATGGAGGGAAAACCCTCCTGTGCTCTTCCCACCCTCCCAGTGCAATCAAGTCATAAGGCTTATCTAATAAGATAAATCATGATCAGCCCTTTTAAAAAGGCTTGATACCTTCTGGTCTGACAGCATCGGCCAAGATCAGTGCCTGAGCCTTGTCCTTGGCAGGGAAGGATTTATACTACCACGTCAATCCATAGAGTTGACCAGCAGTTTCTGACCACAGGGAGACAGAAGGGCACATTCAAGTGAATAGGACAGAAGCGTGCAAAATTTGAGATGCTGGAGGAAAGCCTGAACATTTTGAATCAACCGCATGAGTCTGCTACGGCTGAATACGGTCCCGCTTGCCTCACAGCCCAGAGGAACTCCCCTTGCTTCTGCTCATCTCCGAGATGTGACTGTGGAGGGAAAGAGGGGGAGGATAAAACTTACGGCACCTGTGGCAGCTGGGAAAAACACTCCAAAAACAGTGAAGAAGGACTCCCCCTGGCTGTAGTCTGGCAGTGTGTTGTTGAACATAAGCTCTTCGGAGTAGCCAACGAAGCCATGCTCTGCAAAGACATGGAGGGCAAGAGAACCTCAGAAATCACAGGGACTGCAGGAGACCCTCCAGCCTGCTCTTGGCAACCACCCATCCTCTAAACACATGTGACAGCAGTGGCTGTTTCCAGGGATAGTTTGAAAGGATGAATGTCAACTTATTTGGTGGGGGGAGAAGGCAGAGAAGAGGTCAGTGTGGTTACAAGGGTGCAAATGCCAGGGAAAGGTGCAGTGGTGCAAGCCAGCATGTCGAGAGGCGCCGCCAGGCTGGGTGGCTCTCGCCAAGCCAGAACACGTATCGTATCGAGTCCTGCCTGTGAGCAAGCAGGACATCTTCCTGTAAAACCTGTCCACAGAGGAAAACTGGCTGCAGGGATCAGCTAATATTTATACTTATTTATCCATGCCACTTTAATCCTCTTTCCAAATAGAGCAAAATTATGCTGCCATAAGACAACTGCATCCCTGAGCAAACCCTAACACCGTATCCCAATTCTGTGTTTCTGCCAGTCAAGCTCCTGCACAGACAAGACCTGAGATGTGCCCATGCTCTGAAGCTGCTACCAACACACCCAGTTTATACACTGGTTGCCAATGAGCCCAGAGCCAATAAAGCCAGTTTGCTGCAGGGTGGGCTCTCCCCTACAAGATGGGTTTCCCAGTGGAGAAGGAATAAGGTGCTCTAAAACTGCTCACTGCCGCGTTGTGCACTTACCCTCCTGATGCCATTCTCTCCTGTTGCTGCGTTATCACCTCCAAACCAGGGCTAAACATGGGGCTGTGCATCACGACCAGCCGCCCCCCTCCCAGATCTTCTGCAGATGTTTATCACGGCACAACAAGGAGCAAATGCCGAGACCTTGGGCTGTGCCCTGCTCCCCACACCGACTTCTGCCAAGTCTTTCCAAGGTCATACACACACAAGTTTTACTTTCCAAACAAAAAGTTGTACAGAAGATGGGAGAGAGGAGAAAGCAATGGGTAGGATATCAATATCATGCAACTGGTTTACTGGGTATGTAATGGAGGATCCTGCTCCCTCACTTCACACTGGCAGGACAGGTCAAGTTCTTCCACAAACCTGGATTTGTTAGGAACAGTTGAGCCCAACAGCTGACATGCCAGCAGGGCATTAATTAGGAAAGATTTTCAATGCTTATAGGTAGAAAAGATAACTCATGAAAGCAGGTTAAGGAATTAATGATACGTCTATGAAATTAATAATTTCATTTTCAACAGACAACACTGCTTTTTAATGGAGTATCTTAATCTGTGGAAAGTCCTCCTCCCTATCAGTAATCTAAATGCTCGTGCCAGCTGGGGGTGGGAGGTGAGCAAAGTCAGTTCCTTTTTTTCTCCTGCCACTACAATCTATTTCCACAAGACATGTGACTGCAATAACTTGAATTTTCTCATTAGCAGGCAGGATGTTGTTTATGGCTGCACAGGGTGATGGCCACAAATTAAAAAAAGATTCCATCAAAGCTGTCCCATGCCTCAAAGACAACATTAATGATGTTTGGACAATAGATTAAACCGGAAAATTAAATCAGAGCTCTAAATGGGTATGTCTTGCGTTCAAAGTCTCAGAATATAACTAACCACAGAGCTTTGAAGTTGCCACAGAAAAATCCTATAGATAATCAAAAGTTTCCTACTACATCTGCATTCATTGTGTTGCCCAAACATGGATGGAAACACACTGATAGAAGAGGTCTCCTGCTGCTAGGCTTTTTAAAAGCACCAGCTATCTTCACTAGGAACAAGTCGCAGACGAGATTTAAAGGGAATAAGCTCAGCACAACACACTGACCTCTGGACCTCACAGATGTCTGCAGAAAGTGCAGCTTCTGGAGAAATAAAGGGGGGATTTGTGTAGGTTGTACGTTCCCGCAAGACCAGACCTGAGCTCCTTCAACTGGAATTTGCGCCCACGACAGCACGGCACGTGGGCTGGCTGCAAAGCTCCCACCAAACTGCTCGAGGTAAATTTCGGTCCGCAGCCAAGGTGTTTTTCACAAAGTATGTGCTCCTCATAGAAATGTTAATGTTTCATTAGTAAAACAAACAGAGTGGGCAGAATATTCATCTCACCCCAAGGAGATCTGCAGACCTTCTCCAACCTGTGCTTCACAGCAGCAGCAGCAAATATATCTATGTCACTCTTGACAAAACTTTGCCCCACCGGTTCTTAAAAATCTCCTGTGAAGTGGACTCTAGCCTCTCTTGATGGTTTACTCTCATATTTTCCTGCCTTTATCACTTAGGTTTCCCCTACTGTCTAACCAAAACCATCCTGTTTGAAGTTCATGATACTATTTCTTGCCTGATCCATAAGCTATTTCCATTTTTTAACAGCATCCTTTCCCCTACTGGAAACAGTCCCCATCCTGCACTGGCGCAGTCGACGGTTTCTGCCAGGCTGTAAAACTTTATGTTTCTCTTTATCAAACCACAAATCGTCCTTTTCATACCACTTCCCCAGCTTGTGCAAGGTCATCTGGAAGTCTGACCCTCTCAGCCAGGCTGCTGCGAGCCCTTCCCAGCTGGGGGTCATCTGCAAATTGAATCTGCATATTCTCTTTTCCATTATCCAAGCAGTTAAGGAAAATACCAAATAACACCAAACCAAAACCAGACCCTTGCAGAACCTCACCAGGCATAGTGTCCTGCTTTGCAAGTGACCTATCTCCAACCGGGGTCTTCCAACCGGGTTTTGGGGCTATATAATTCAACAATGGGCTGATCCAGGCACTTTGGGTGCCTTATGTCTCCTTTCTCATACAAAAGGCCAAGTATACAACGAGACTACATTTTCTGTGATACCATTTTGGCCATACCGTGGCCAAAGAGAGACCGTGAGACCCATGAGTCCGATGTCTGACCTGCACCTGTGCGCATCTGAGCCCAATTAATCTTAAGAAGCCAAACGATCCCTTGTGCTCCATCCATTCGTCTGCTGTTCCCTTTCCTACTTTATTCCCCTAAGTGCAAATCCTGGGTGGGAGAGACGAAGCCCAAAACCATGGCAGATGTCACTGGAACCACAGAAAATGACAGCCGTGGACCTGTTGAAAGAGCCACAGGATGTGCCTACGACTCTATCCCACTTCTGCTTCCTTTCCTTGCGGCTCTGGCGGGCGAGAGGAAGCCCAGCCATTCCACATTTCCCTTTTATACAGAAACAGGAGCTTTCTTGTCTAATTAAAGAAAAGTTCATCCAAATGTTACTTGTTATTGCAACCTCATTTCTCAGTCAATCACCCTCCCGTGAAGCAAATCTCACATTCCTTTTGATCGGTTTTACACCAGGATTTGCAATCGCCATCAATTTAAGCGAGCTATCGGCATGTGACCGCGGAGCTGAGAACAACACGCTGTGAGCATCTCCTGGCTGCCCTCATGCCTGCGACCAGAGCGAGTCATCTGTGACCTTTCAGCTGTCATATTAATGGGACTAATTGTAGCTGACGGGGCAATTGGGCTGAAAATCATCCAAAACAAAACAGGAATCAGCAACTGAGACCAATCGGTTAAACCAACAGAGCACTCGGTCGCTTGTTCACAGAGTCAATTATCCACATCCCATTGAAAGTGCACTTCAAAAGGACGAGCTTCGGAAGAAGGAGGGAAGGAAACGTGATAGGGTCTATATTTGGCTCTCTGATCTCCAATTTTTTTTTTTTTTTTGGTAAGAGGATCTTTTCCTCCAGCTTACTGCTGGGTACATGAGATCCAAGCCAGATTCCTCCCTCCTTGCTCATTACAAAATGTTTGTCTGACAAATTTTGCTCTCAATCAATTTATGCAACCCCACAGCCTCTAAATCCTGCCTTTAATGATCCTGCTCTTGGTTGGCTTGCAGAGGGCTGGAACTGAAGTGCTATAAACAATCTTCCTAGTGTCATGCTAGGAGGAAAAGAATCCGGTTCCTTCTCTGTGCCATGTCAGCCTTATGGGAAATGCACAATAAAGAGCGGTAATGATTTATTTTCATCATTAGATACTCAATAAGGAGCAGGCAAATAATGGGTTTCTCAAGTGGTTGAGCTGAAGTAAATAAACAACAGGGAAAAAAAATTGACTTAGAACAACATCTGAATTATTCCTGTGATTTTTGACAAATTAAGTCCTTCCGGTTGCCCTTATTAAAATGATGTAATAAACAATAAAAACCACCTAGCAAGTTTCAAATGGAAGAGCTTCCGGGATGAGCATCCTCCATTCACAAGCGCAGGGGGACCACAGAGGGGGCTGCACATCAGCCCGATGCAGGTGGAGGAGGAGGAAAATGTCCCCCCCATTCTCATGTCCCCCCGGCCACCATGGATGCTTGGGAGGAGGTACCAGCCTTCGCCTGCTTGCCACCGCTGCATCCCCCCTCCGCCCCGGCTGGTTTCCACATTTGAGCTTTTCTTGCACTTTCATCCTCTTTCACGGGGCGAGAGGTGGGAGAAAGCAGCCGAGAAGGTTTTCAGCACTCGGGACACCCCTTAGCAGGGCGGCCCCTCCATGAAGCCCAGGGTTTCAGAGTGGGACTCAAGGAGGTTGGAGAAAAGGCGCAAAGCGAAGACGTGGTTACACGGGGTCAGGCCATTGTGCAACAGCACAGAGGACGACGGCACTGCCAAGTTCCAGGCAACCTGGAGCTCATTACAGATTAGTCAAGTCCTGGCCAAATTCAATAAGCCTGTTCACAAGCTTAAGGTTAAGTAAACCCTGGCACTGAGGCAGGGGCTAAATAATGCAAAAATGGAAAACCACCTTAAGAAACAGCTCCCAGAAGACGGTCACGTATTGCACTCTGCTTGTGATTAGAGATTTTAATTACAAAGGTGAATGCTGAAGGCTTGAAATGGTGAGATTTTTTTTCTTTTCCTAAATAAGTAAGCCCACACATTCCCGCCTGGAAGGTACTTGCTGAGATTTGCTTTCAGAGGAACAGCTGGAAGTGTTTGTCTTGCAGCACATTTCCCAGGTCTGACCCCAGCGTTTTCAGGATCCTGTGTGA